CCCGAATCCAGGCCACACGGAAGGCCCGGGTCGCCGAGCCGCCGCTGCCGGCCCTCTTTCGCCCACCCTCCCCGGCTCCTACCGACCTGGAGACGGCCATGGCCGCCCGGAGCTAGGACTCGCTGGAGGCGAGCGGCGGGACAGTGAGCGGGGGGGCCAGCGCCGCTCTCCCAGGAAGGAGGGCGCGGGGCCTAGCTCAGGCCTCTCGGGCGCCGCACCCAGCCTCGGCCCCGCCGGTGATCCGCGGGGAGCGGCTGAGCGCAGCTGTGGCCGGCAACGGTCAAAGTCTCTCTCCCCCCAGCGGGGCAGCAGCGGCGCGGGCGGGAGCGGTGCACAAGCCTCAGAGCGCGAGTTAAAGGCTCTATTCGCCCATCGCCAGGGCGAAGCCCAGTGCCTGGCTTTATATGAGCAGCCATCTTGTATTTATTCCCTTCCTCCATGATAGCGGCTTCCTGATTGGCAGCAGCGTCCAGCCGTAGCCAATGGAGAGATAAGAGCAAAGAGGGCGGGCGACGCAGCCTGGACTGAGCAGGACCGGCCGGCCTGCCGAGGAGAGCGCTCCAGTCCCTCATCCCAAGGGAAGAGGAGAGGCATGAAAACGCAAAGTATAACCTTTTCCTTAACAGCCTACAGTGTGATGGTGCTTCTCCCCCACCAGCATGGCGGGAGAGGGCGACGGAGAGCTCGGAAAGCTCACGCAACACTCCCCACTCGGAGAAGTGAGCTTACACCCAGCGCCGCAGCTCGCACGCCCGGACCGCGGAGACTACAGCTCCCGGCGTGCAGTGCGCCCAGCTCCGCGCCCTCTGCGAGGGGACGCATCCGCCACGCGGCCGCCGCCCGCCGGGGTGACGGGCCGTCCCTCCGCCTCCCCCAGGGAGCTAGGCGGTGGGGTGGGCTTACCGCAGCTACTCACAAGGTGTGTTTGCCGGCACAAGCCCCCAGGCAGTGAGGGGCACTTCAGCTGGCTGTCGTGTGACGGCACTGTCACCGACCACGTTTCCTTCCACTTCCTGTCGTCTCCTCAGCTGAGGCAGCCAGCCCGTACTGCGGCCCGGCCGCGCTGCGGAAGGCTTGCAGAAGAGGACGGGGTGTCAGGGTCCCGACCGGCCGCCCCCTCCGCCAGGCGCGCGGTACCCTGGGCAGCTAGGCCCTTAACCCTTGGGAAGGAGGCCAGGCTTTCCAAGTGCATGATGCCAGCTTGATCAGATCCAGAGTAATACTGATTAAGAAATTAGCCTTCGACTAACCACTTAATGTTCTCATCCAGTAAAGGACCGGGGACGTCCCAGGGATGTAAAGTTAGCTGATACACAAAACCTTTCATGTGATAAATGGAAAACTTGAACAGATTTTTTCTTTCCTGTAAGTGATGCATAAACTCGCGTAAATACATGAATTTGCATAATACTATATGATAAAGTTTTCTTCTAAAGCCCATCATGGTGTGTATTTCATACCAAGCCTTTCTATAGGGATGTCTGCTTGCCCCCAGCCTTTCCACTGGATGGTTTCCCTTTCCCTATAGCAGTGAGCTCTTCATGTATGGGTTTGCTTATTTGTTTCCTACTAACATGCGCATTCCAACTAGATACTAATGCCATCTGTGTGTATAAACAAGCTGCCGGTACATAATACCTCAGCCTATTCTTATCCATGTGGGTCCGGTTTATACCTGAGTCCTCTATAAGGTTTGCCCTTGGTGCCTCTTTCCTGTCTCTTCACCCATCCTTTGGTGGGCCGTCTGGTGAGTAGGAGCTGGTGTTGAAATGGCAAGCAAACACCAGCAATATGAGTCAGCCCAAGAGCTCTGCATCACACAGCGTGGCCAGAGCAAACCACAGACTTCATTTTAAGCATAGAGATGGTTTGTGTCACACTGCTACACTCAATAACCCAAATAATGCCTTTTTTCTTCCCTGACATGGGTCTGATGTATTAACTACCCTTAGATAGCTCAATATGCCTCCTGTAGAAGAATACAGTGGGTTAGTTGGAGCCCAAGAGCCTATTCCTGAAGTACTACAAAACCACATGCACCTTCTTTTGTGCCATCATGTGTTGCAGGTGCATCTGCCTGAACCATGATCCAAGGCATGTATCTACTCCCATCCCATGTGTGTGTATGTTTCCACATGATGGGGTGCCTGCACTTTAGCCATGTGATGGGGAGGAACAGCAGGGTGTTGAGGTAGGGAGAAGCAAGGAACATACTGAAGATAGATATATTTTTCTTGTGTGTTCAATGCTGTTGACACAACAAACATCCCTGATAATATTTCTGCATTTGTTTAGCCAGGAATCAGCAGCCATTGTGTCCTGCTGTGGGCGTTATTTATATGACTCTCAGGAGCTATTTCCAATTCTAACATCCTATTTCCTTTCAGGTTCCTTAAAAACATTCTGTACACGGCTTTAATAGTTGTCATTGCAGAGGGCACATTAAACATGCAATAAAGTTTGTTTTGAACAGCTCCATGAGGGTTATCCTACCTGATAAAAATAAGTGCAGGAAAAATATTGGTGACGGGTCTTATGCAGTGAGTACTTGCTGAAATAATGACAAACTGCAGTCCAAGCAAAACAATCTGCAAAAGACAGAAAGAATGATCCATTATTTACCTAAGAGTAGGCTTTATGGACTGAAACACAATTCAGCCAAGTTTCACACTACATATTTTTACATTTTGATGTGATGTTTAGGTAAAGCACATCATTACTAAAATACTCACCTGTACTTCTGCTTCAGTCCCTTTTCTTCTGCTCAGTCCTGTTCCTACACCTTATAAAAACAAATTCTTGGTCCATGCATATGTTCACATGCTCATACTCATACTAATACTTTTTGCACATTTGTTTTCTTTTGACCCATTTTTCAAGAAGCCATACATTTTCTTCTGTGTCTTTTTCCATATGTTCTCACACCGTTTCTCACACTGCAAATCCATTGTGTGCCAGTATACTCTCTCAAACCTGTTCCTAAATTAGAGTCATAGAATAGTTAGGGTTGGAAAGGACCTTAAGATTGTCTAGTTTCAACCCACCTGCCATGGGCAGGGACACCTCACACGAAACGGTATCACCCAGGGCCTCATCCAACCTGGCCTTGAACACCACCAGGGATGGAGCATTCACAACCTCCCTGGGCAACCCATTCCAGTGCCTCACCACCCTAACAGGAAAGAATTTCCTCCTTATATCCAATCTAAACTTCCCCTGTTTAAGTTTTAACCCATTACCCCTTGTTCTGTCACTACAGTCCCTAATGAAGAGTCCCTCCTCAGCATCCTTATAGCCCCCCTTCAGATACTGGAAGGCTGCTAGGAGGTCTCCACGCAGCCTTCTCTTCTCCAGGCTGAACAGCCCCAACTTCCTCAGCCTGTCTTCATACGGGAGGTGCTCCAGTCCCCTGATCATCCTCATGGCCCTCCTCTGGACTTGTTCCAACAGTTCCATGTCCTTTTTATGTTGAGGACACCAGAACTGCACACAATAGTCCAGGTGAGGTCTCAGGAGAGCAGAGTAGAGGGGCAGGATCACCTCCTTCAACCTGCTGGTCACGCTCCTTTTGATGCAGCCAAAAGGATAGATAAAATTAGATAAAAAATTAGATAAAACTCAATAATTTCCAGTCAGTTGGTATGTTATAATCATTACTTCCTGCATTGATCTCAATTATTTTTATTTTCTTCCTCATCCCAGCTGTATCCATCTGTGAACTCTTATTGCTTAGTGTGCAGATTCACAGTGACTGCAGCTTTTTTGCTACATATGCCTACAGAGCCTCGGGAAAAAATGATGCAGTCTCTAAATGCTATGGCTGTGCAAAATAGTAGATGACAGAGGCACTGTTTTCCTGGTGGAATCCCTCCTGGCATACCATCATCTTCTACATGTTCTGGTCTTCAAGTTTTATTTTTCCAGTTAGTTTTTTTTGTGTCCTGAGCTTGCAGAGTTGTATTGCTTAGGATCACACCAAACTCTCTGTAACTATAGGTAGGTATAATATTTGATACATTCTAGTCTGATTAAAAAGATTATTCTCACCTTTCAGTGGCTGTCTTACTTTATTTCTAAATTCCCTTGGAAATCTTGTCTGAAGAAAAGTTGGGCTTAGAAGCTTGTCCCTGTTTAGCAACTAGTTCAGACATCTCTGCTGGTGTCTTAATCACTGTCATTACTTTGGTTATTTGGTAAAGAATTGCTCTGAGATAAATTTATGTATTAGGAACTTAGGCAGGCAAATTGTGCACATTCTTTGCAATATGTATTTCTTGATGATGATTACTGTTCTGAGGTCTGCATACTAACCAGTTATCTTGTAGGCTATTTCTAACATACTTGAAAATCTTAGTTATTTTTATATATTTAACTATTTCTTCTTCAAATATTATTCAATCTTCCTAGATTTTATATTACATTTTATCTCTGTAGGTTAGGCCCCTTTTTACTGGTATCACTAAAATCAGATTTCTAAGTGAAGGATATTTTTTCCTAAATAATCTTATTTCTGGCTAATTAATACTTTTTATTGCTACTCTGCTTAATTTTTATTTAAATGTCTATTTATTTTTTTACCATGTGAGTGTCACTAGTTTCCATGCCAACTCTCATGCTTTTAGTTGAATCATTTTCATTCTGTTTTTGACTAGCTGTATAACCTTCTTGAAAGCCACCTCCTTAAAAAGTGGCAAATTATACATGGTCGTCCTTTTGAGTTCTTCACCATAAGTGGTGGTGGCTGAAGGCTGGATGCTGACTGATAGCTGCCACAGTCCAAGAAGCACCTCAGAGATAATAATGAAATGCTGTATTCCGAGAGACAAATCAGGGCAAAGGCATTGCCACACCACAACAGATTAACAACATTTGTGAAAAAAGTTTGGCCCCAGTTTCTCAACATCAAACAGGACTGTAATAATGATCAGTTTGTGAAAAGCAACATCAAAAAGCTTCCAAATGTCACAAGAGCTGTATAATTATCTCATTAGATTTCATTACTTCTGATATTTAACATTATACATTCAGGATGCTTTTCCTGAGTTAGAGGCTCCTGATATGACATAGATGGAAAACTTGTGATTCTCTTTCATGATCTTCTGTTCTCAAGGATTTTCTCTCATGAGATCACATGGACTCGTTTAGAAGTGAAGCTCCTCCTTTATAAACAGATATGCTGTACAACTGGTTGGTGCTGGTTGATGAGAAAATGAACATGAGCCAGCAGCGTGCGCTCACAGCCCAGAAAGCCAACTGTATCCTGGGCTGCATCAAAAGGAGCGTGACCAGCAGGTCGAAGGAGGTGATCCTGCCCCTCTACTCTGCTCTCCTGAGACCTCACCTGGAGTATTGTGTGCAGTTCTGGTGTCCTCAACATAAAAAGGACATGGAACTGTTGGAACAAGTCCAGAGAAGGGCCACAAGGATGATCAGGGGGCTGGAGCGCCTCCCGTATGAAGACAGGCTGAGAAAGTTGGGGCTGTTCAGCCTGGAGAAGAGAAGGCTGTGTGGAGACCTCATAGCAGCCTTCCAGTATCTGAAGGGGGCCTATAGGGATGCTGGGAGGGACTCTTCATTAGGGACTGTAGTGACAGGACAAGGGGTAATGGGTTAAAACTTAAACAGGGGAAGTTTAGATTGAATATAAGGAGGAAATTCTTTCCTGTTAGGGTGGTGAGGCACTGGAATGGGTTGCCCAGGGAAGCTGTGTATGCTCCAA